GGGCTATGACTACCAAGGTTACAGACACTCAACGTCATTGCCAACCTTCATGCTATCATTATTCTAAAAAATTTACACCTCCCAAGCCAGTTTATGGCTGCATGTTCCAGTTCCAATACACACCTTTAAAATTGGCTTCAACTTGCCAGTAGCTTTTGCTTAAGAGAATTTAATCACAATGTATAACACACACCTTCATACAATACACAAAACCTCAGAACTGGCTTTCTTCCCTTTTTTAAAGCATTTATTATAGGTGTTAAATTACGGTAATTCCCAAGCTCAACCCCTAAGAAACTGAGCTGTCTATGTCAAGCTTACTTCATAATAATTTTCTAAAGAGTCAAGCCAAGATATTTCCTTCTACACCTACAAAGACCATGCATTCACTGGTAAAATGCACAGGTCTTCACTGAGTTGTTGGGACCTTAGAGAGAAGGGTTGAGACATGTAGGTCTTCAGAGAGAAGAGAAATGCCATTGTCAAGGGAGAGACCAGACAGAGGGGAAACAAGTTCTGGGCCAGGTGCTCTCCTAGAAGAAAAAAGAACGATTACACAGAAGTAAGGAATGGGAAGAAGGGACCCAGAAAATGTACAATGATCCTCCTGGGTCAGAATTCAAGACAGACTTTGAAATAAGGGTGGTGTCTCCAGTGAATGTGGGCAGCACCTGAGTAGGAAGGCCAATGCCTTGTGAAGGCAAAGAAGGCGTGCAGTGGGGGAATGAGAATGCTGGGCTATAGATCTCAAAGCTTGGGAGTGTGAACTGATCTCCCCGCTGCACAGACTCGACCCACCCATCCCAATGCACCAAAATGTTCCTCATCAAAGTGCCTGCCAAATCTATCTCCTGCCATATATCTTGGCCAGCAATTCCCAGTTAGAGCCAACATACTTGGGTTCCCCTCTCTTCTATCCAGTGGATTAATCCTGCTTCCAAAGTATCCCACACACAATGTGCCCCCCCCTCCCCTCACTTTTTTAATGTGCTCCAAGAAACACTGTGGGCAATTTTCTGGAAATTTATGCAACATTCCTTAAGGGGTCATTTTGAAGCAACAGGAAAACCTTCATGAAATTCTACTAAAGAACTGGGACTGGTCCAATTTTCCTACACAAGTTTTTACTAGATGGAAATCCAGAAGTCTTGGCCTCTTCTATCCATCATAAAAACACCCTTTGTTTAAACAAAGTCTCCACTGATGCATTTTCCAGCGCATAAGGTAATTTCCAGTGTGGTACAAAACTCACTAGGGTCCTTTAAAATCTGGGGTGGAGGGGGAAGGGGGGAGAAGGAAAAAAAGTACCTACACAGCAGAAGCCTTTATGATCTATAACTGAGAACATACTGCATTTGCAATAATACCACATTGAACCGCCTGGGCTGTAATACAGTAACCCCCTCACAACATTGACCAGCCGCAAACAGAACCAAGAAACCTGGCAAGGAACTCTATCTGCAATAACAAACCTGACTTGCAGTAACAGCCATCTGCACAAGCGCCAATTATCCTTCTCCTCAAATGATTAGGTTCCATCTAGTTTTGCTGACAAGCAAGTTATGCCACATTTTAATAGGCAATAAAATGTATTATTAAATAATTAGTAGGTAAGGAACAGAAATTAGAGGCTACTTCCCTGCACATGCCTCCCCCAGTACTTCATCTATTGATGTAAAGCAACTCGATCCTCCAAAGAGGACAGCCTGAAACCTGATCCAGCAGTTTATTGTGAGACAATTATGAAGCTAATGAGTGTTCACAGAGTCTGAGGCAGGAAAAGAAATCTAGAAAATTCCACCTCGCCCCAGTTCCTTCTGATCTGCAGCAGGGTCCCAGGGGAGCACACATGTCTTCCAACGGCCCCGTGTTCCGAGCACATTAATTAAACGGTTAGAGGTAAAGGAGCACGCTGCCTTTCCCATCTCCCCACTCTCCTGTAGGTAGTGTCTGGTACTTGTTCAGCCCTAAAGGTACAGTTACACTAACTGAAAAAAGCCCCACTAAGACCAATTAAGGTCTTTACTAAGAGGCTGAAAAGAAGACAAATGAAGGCAGAAAGCCCGATTACAAGGAACCTTTGTACAGATGTAGAGCAATTAGAGTGGTCCCGGGGGAAGGCAGCGTGGTTCCAGAAGCACACGGTTTTACAGCCTGTCTAAACTTGGAACAATCTATCTTTTTTTAGGTGGAGAATAAAAGTGAACCCTATATTAGTGTCATATATCAGCTGCTAGTGCTTGCGATTGGTTCCCCCATGCCTGCTAGAGCCATAAAGCTTCTCAGAGATCCCCGGTGGAGGGCAACACCATTATACACTCCACTCTCTCAGGCAGGGAAAAAGGCCTGCTTCGTGTCAGAACTGCTTAACAGCGGGGCCGCTGTGCACATGCCCAGAGAGGGGGCTGGACTGGACAGTGGAGGGCAGGACTGGAAGGGAGGGCAAGGGGGGGTCGCAGAAAGAGAACTGAGACAGGGTCTCTGGGATACATTTAAGGGGGTCGCCTTAAGGAGAACAAAAGGCTGCCAGTTTATCCTCCCAGGACATTTTAACAGCAGCCACATTTCTGTCATTAGCCCTCCTTTTGATCTCCTTAATGCATAACATGTCGGTGTTTTATCTTTCCATACGTGATAAGAGCCAACAGATGGGTTTCTTGGTTGGGACCCAGATGTAAGGATTTATACTTGGTGCTGGATTTCTGGAAGTGAAATGACCAGAAAGGAGGGGAAGGGTCAGAAATTTGTGCATATTCCCTCAATAATTTAGGATCAGGAACTCCTAAGGCAAGGAAAGAATCTAGAAACCCTGGGACTCTGGATATGTCTCCATAACAGCCCTGTCCATAGAAATAAAATGCAAGCAGCACAGGAAATTTAAAATCTAATAGCCACATTAAAGAAGTAAAATTGATTTTAATAATACACTTTATTTAACCCCGTATGTCCAAAATATTATCATTCTGACAAGTAATCGATATAACACATTATTAATGAGCTATTTTACGCAATTTTTTGACAGTGAGTCTGGGGAATTTGGTGTATACTTTACACCTACAGCACATCTCAATTCGGATTCGCCCCATCTAAGTGCCTAGTAGCCACGTGTGACTCAAGGCCACAGTCCCACATGCATGCTCTGTGCTGGGGGAGGAAGAGCACAGGCTCCTGGCCCAGCACTAACCGGGCATAAGACAGTGTATAAATTACTTAAGTTGTCAGTGCCTCAAACTGCTCAGTTTGAAGTTGGGGATATTACAATACTTACCTCATAGGACTGTTGAGATAATCCATGTGAAAACGTAGCAAAGCCTGGCACCGAGTCAGCACTCAATGAGTATCAGCTATAGTTTTTACTATTATTTTAATAAATAATCTCAAATAAAGAGTCACAATTTCCCACCAAAACATATGTTTCATAAAAGATTTTAGGGAATCATTCTATCTGAGGTTCCTCACGTCTGTCTGCATTTACTGGAGTTGCCTAAGGAGGTTTAACAGTGAACTGAGTTCAGACAAAATGAGTCTGGAAGAGTTGCCCCCTCGCCACTGCTTGCATTAGATGATGCACCAGAGCTCCGGGCCTGCTCCGCACTTGGAAGGCTAGACACGGGAGGAATGTGGTAGCCAGGAACCGACATCTGCTGGAGGCATCCACGCTGCCAGACGTCAGCAAATGCCATCACACTTCAGAGGAATGATTAGCAAGAACACTGGCTTCAGGTCAAGAGTTGATCGCTGTACAGATTATTTTGATTTTCAATAACCAGGAATTCACGCTGAGGAACAGCATTTTAAAAAGGTGGCATTTAACATTCAACAGAGAAATAATTAACTTTAAAACTTAGCCAGTAAAAGAAAATGCCAAGGCAGGATGGTGAGGCAGAGCTGACAACAAGAGGGGATACAACAGGACATTAATTAGGTACAAGCAAACATCTTCCCTAATAGCTCATGTTCTCATTCCCAAAATGTCAACAATAGATATTAACACCAGATGCTGGCATTACATCTCCCCTGACAGTGAGTCTGGGCCATGTGTGTGCTCAGAGAAAAGACTCGTGTGATTGAGGGGAAAAACCCAATGGGAAAAAGGCTGTGTTTCCTGCTCTTAAATAATTTACAGACCATTTATGAATGGTGGGGAAATGGGACCTTTCAGGGGATCTCAACTGCAACATGGGGGAGGAGAAAGTTGGGATCAAGAGAGCCACTGTCCACAGGCAGACTTCTCCAGCATCTGGTCCATTCACCGAGGGGCACCTGGACCCCAAAGTGCTCGGCTACCCTCCTGCTGGAGGCTGCAAGGGCACCTCTCCTATGAAGTACAGAATCTTCTCTTGAATACAGGTTACTGAATCCACCACCCCGGGAGTAAGGGACATGACTCCAATATTTAGCAAGTTTTAGAAAAAATAATTACTGCTGATCTAAAAAAATCATTTGCCTTTTATTAATTTCAATTTTCATGCTTTGAGTCAGTCATAAAAGAGATATAACAAATATAAAGAATATGACATATTTCCATTCCTGAGCTGTGTGCAAGCAAGTTTATGACGCAGAGGAAGAGACAATGGACTAAGTTAACCTATGCTCCATGCCCTGTCAGCCAGGAGGGACCGCTTCTGCCTTTGATTTTCTGTTTCCAGAGCAAATGGTCAAAAAAAACTCTCTGAATATGGGTGTTGCTTTGGTAAGAGGACTTGGATCTACTAAAAAAAGAGAATAGGCTGCAAACTGGGGGGACAAAGTTTGGCAGGAACATAGAAGAGGTAACTGATTTATTTGAATTCCACCATTAAAAAGGGTAAACCTCCTTGCCTAGAAGGTGCTTCCCTTCCAGTCTCATTCTCACCTAAGCTGTCCTCTTCTTTAAGTCTCAGCTTAGAATGTCACTTTCTCAAGGATGCATTTCCCATGCCCACCCTCACCCCATCTCCATTATTCTCCATCTCAGCTTCTTAGCTTTTTTTTTTTCACAGCACCTATCACACTTGTGTTTACTTCATTTGTTTCTCTGCTGTACTGTACGCTCTGAGAAGGTTTACTTCTATATCACTCCGGGAATACAGTCGGTACTCAACATGCTTGGTGAACACTGCTGAGGTCTCTGCTGCCTCCTGTTGCTGTTGACGCAATCCTTGGGCCAAGAAATACCAATGAAGATCCCAGCAACTGATGGGATAATTTAGATCGAGAGGTACCCAGAGAAAAACACCCAGAGGCTTCCCTTGGACAGAAGTTGAAAGAGCACAAATGAGTGAGATAGACTCTCTACTCTCAGGGAGTTTACAACCTAGGAACCCAGGAGTGTATGCAGGTAGCCAAAGATTCAGATAAAGAAGTTACTGAACTGAAAAAGACAGGTTAGGCCAGGCATTCAAGGCAAGTTTTGGCTGACACTACCAGAGCGCAGGTTCTAAGAGGCAGCACAAGAAACCGAACCACCAAGACAAACTACCCACCAGAACTGGCAGCCTGGCTCAGGGGTTAAGAGCATGATCTCTAGAGTCAGACAGAATGGCTTCATGGCTTACAAGCAGTGACATTGGGGGCAAATTCCTTAAATTCATTACACCTGTTTTCATTATTATTATTATTATTATTATTATTATTATTTGTTAATCCTCATCCAAGGATATTTTCCCATTGATTTTTAGAGAGAGTAGAAAGGAGGGGGAGAGACAGACAAAGGGAAACATCAATGTGAGAGAGACACATCAACTGGTTGCTTCCTGCACATACCCCGGCTAGGGCCAGGGATTGAGCCTCCAATCGAGGTATGTGCCCTTGACCAGGATCAAACCCAGAACCTTTCAGTCCACAGGCCAACGCTCCATCCACTAAGACAAACTGGCCAGGGCTATTATTATTTTTTTTATTGATTTTTTTTAGAGAGAGAAGGGAGGAAAGGAGAGAAGGCGAGATGAAGGGAGAGGGAAAAGAGGGAGGGAGGGAGAGAGAAACATTGATTTGTTGTTCCACTGATTTATGCATTCATTGGTTGCTTCTTGTATGTGCTCTGACCTTGGCATTTTGGGGCGACACTCTAAGCAAATGAGCTACCTGATCAGGGTTACACCTGTTTTCTCTCTGTAAGATGGGAATAAAAATAGTATTTATGTCACAGATTGTTATGAGGATTAAATATTGTAAAGTGCTTAGAACCATGCCTTACATGTAGTAAACAGAATAAAGGTGAACTAGTAAAAAGAACTGTCCTCTAAAAAGCCATGGAATTTGTTTACTAGTTAACACCACCCAGCATCTATTTGGCCCATCGCTTACAGCATTTGGGCATGGCCTTTACTTTTTATATCTTACAGTCCTGTAGCTGTAGCATCAGCACTGGCTGCAAGCTTAAATCCCAAATGCCTGCTTGTGTCCACACGCCCTGGTCCAGCCCCCTATTTTGTCTGACCTTTTGGTGCCAATGGACAACATGCAGCCTCTGTCCATGTGCTTGCTATTATTTCATAGTTGGCCTCTCTTCCAGGAAATATTAGCTTTATAAAGGCACAGTATGACACTCAGACTGGGACCTGGCCCCTGACATCCAGATAATTACGAGGAGAAATGAGATTTCTGTGCTTAGGCAATCTTTGCTAATATACTTCATTCAGAAATCAACTCTTCCTTGAATTCAGAGCCCCTGAAGCAATATAAAATAATTTCTGTCTGTCCATCCATCTCAAAGTATCTATTATGTATAAAGCCAGATACTAGGCACCATAGGAGGAAAAAAATACAACAAGATCTGTCTTCAAAGGGTGATTATGTTACAGTCTAACAGCTCAGAAGTAGCTTGCCAAGGAAGGCACTAACCTCTGATTTTCCAAGGATCAATTACATTCTGGTTTTGAGCACAGAGATTTTAAGTATTGGAGTGTCAATGACTTGAGCCACAAAAAAAGCCCTTAAAGTACCACTGGTAAATAATCATCTTTGTGATGGTTTTTGAATTTCACTTTAATCAAATCCAGTAAGACGTCCCAAATATCATTTATCCTTTAACAATCAACTCTCAATCTCTAAATCCTGGCTTTTACTTTAATCACTCATGAAAATTCCATTATTCAAGTGCTGATTATGGTCCGTCTTGCTGTGCACCAAGCAGCACAATCACGAAGCCCACAGGCTGCTCTCCACCCTGGAACGGAGTCAGACAGGGGTCTGGAAGTAGCGGGCGCTGAGTCAGACTGCCTGGGTCTGCACTGGCAAGTTATCTAGCCTCTTCAAGCCTCAGTTTGTTCACTTGTAAACGGGATGATGGTGGTAGTGTCTCCTTCACGTGGGGTTGGAGGAATTCAATGAGATGAGTATAAAATGCTTAGAGTAGTTCTTGGTCCTTAGTAACTCTGCCATTTTTGTTATAAAAAAGAGGTTTTGTTTTTGTTTTGTTTTGTTTTGTTTTTTATCAAGAACTAGTTGTTTTGTTCTCTATATGCGTCCCTATTTCTTGGCCCTCTGTGATGGACAGAGCACATACTCAAACCCTAGAAAAGGGTCCACCAATTCATAGGATGAAATCCCATTAGTTCACTATTACTTGGTTGGAATTCTTGGGTAGCAACTGCCTGGTGAACACTGAATTATGAAACATTGGTGGTGGTGGGGGGTGGGTGGGTAGAAACAACATCATACAAAGAGTTCATCTCAAGGAGATTAAAAGGTACTTAAGGAGCCACAAAAATAATTTTTTCACAGCTTTCTTTTAAATGGGGAAGTAAATGGGTAGATCTGGATATATAACCTTGTTTAGCCAATAACTAGCTACAGTCTTATCAAGGTACTTTCAACTTTCTGGGCCTTGTTTTCCTGTTAAAACACAGAGTCAACCCTGCCAAGTTCTGTGGTGGTGAATGAATGAGGTGCAGCACAGGCACCTTTAGTCTGACTTTGCAGCACCGGCTGGAAGGGAAGGGAGTGTGCACTATCTTCAAATCCTCCAAGGCCCTGGCCAGGGAGTTCAGTTGGTTAGAGCATTGTCTCGATACACCAAGGATACAATACCTCTCTCCCCTCTCTCTCTCTCTCAAATCAATTAATAAAAATTTTTAGATCCTTCAAGAACTTTCATTTCCCTTCCCTTTGAAGGGGTGTTTTCTAATTCCTGTCTATGCAGGAAGTGTGTAACTTACTTGTTCATAAGCTTCTAGAACTTTCACCCCAAGGTGCAGGAAGAGATGGCATGAGCCAGCACAGAGGAGAGTGACATAGTAGTGCTCACAGCGCCAGGGAGTCTTCAGAGCCACAGACCAAAGCAGATACCATCAAGGGTGGAAGGAAGGAGCTGTGCCCTGGAGCCCTCCCTGACACAGAGGGACAGGAGCTGAGGGGACCTGCAAAGCCCTGCAGAGAATATCCCCTTGGAGCTTCTCTGATGGAGGCCGGCCTTCCCTCTGGGTGCCCCTCGGGCAAGCTAGCTGCACACTGTGGGAAAGATGAGCCAGGGGTCCTGAGGACGGGTCTCTATGCTGTGGGGCATCCAAGATGGGAAAGGGCTGTTGGGAGTCTGGGATTCTCTTCTGTTTCTGGTTTCCTGTTTGCACGACTTCATCCCTCCTCACTGAAGTTAAGGAATGAAGAGGAAAGACAGAGGGGAAAGAGAAAAACACCCTGAAACACAGTGGGAACACTCGTTCATACATGCCTCCGTTTATTAAATAGCACCTATACTGTGTCTTGGCACTGTGGTCACGTGGATGAGTGAGGCACAGTGCCAATCCTCAAGGTAATGACCGTCCAATGGAAGAAACACACACACGGAGCATTTTACCCTGGTATATGGACTGTGACGGAGATATGCTTAGATGTTATGGAAGGACTTCGAGAAGGCATATCTCAAACCTAGGATTGCGTAGCGGGAGGTAGGGAGGTATCAGAGAAGCTAAGCTGTCCATGGCAGTAGCACCTCAATGCGTTTGATGTGACTGCAGCGGGACCGGGAAGCCATCAGGAAGAAGTGGCAGTGTGAACCAAGACACAGAGCAAAGCGGTGGGAGGCATTGCCAGCACTGGGTGGCTGCCAGGAGGAGACAAGCTCCCCGCACACAGAGCCAGACAACAGCCAGGCAGTCAGCGTGCAGTGGATGGTGTGGACTCCTGGCTACAGAGCAGGCGACAGCTGTACTTCTCAGGACCAGGAGGGAGGTGTTGGTCTTCCTGGGGACCTGTCTTTTCCGTCACCCCCCACTTATTCTACCTACTCATCTTGTTTCGTAATTCCTAGGTAAACACGGAGTCTACCTTCATAGTTAAAGTCCTTGGAAGGGACAATGGCTCAATGGGGTGGGGCAGTTTCAGAATGGCTAGGCTGCCAATGGTCCTCCCAAGAAGGGGGGCCTGTGATGGAGAGCTCCAACCTGATTTTGCGAGGCCACGTATAGAAGTTGGAAAGCCTGGCACACTTTCAAAGAAACTACCACTCAAGGGCAGAACAGTGAGGAAGTGGAAGTGGACTCCGAGTATCACTGAGGTTTGGCAAGCGCTGACTGAGGAGGCAGCGAAGCTGTCTGTCTGTCCTAGGAGGCTATGGCCTTACAGGCATTGTGGGGAAAAGTGGTCTGGAAGATTTTCCAGATGGAGGATGAACAAGATGACCTACAATTACTCACCCTACCCTGCCATGCTATGGTTCTAATCCCAATAAATGCGGGGAGCCCTCTGTTCTACACCAGACACCTCCACAAATGCTTTCAGATGCAGGTGACAAGGAGTAGGCAAGACCAGAAGACTTCAGAAAACAGTGCGAGGCTTTGTTTGCAAACTTCCCTGAGCCAAGGCACGCTGGACCCTGCTTTGCACACAGCCACCTGTCTACTTATCTGAGACAAGTAATAGCATATGCTGGGGGCGGGGGGCACAGCAGGCGGCCCGAGGAGCCAAGAGGTCTTTCCCTGCATGATTTCCCAGTTAACTGTATTCTTGAATGACTTTGAAGAAAAAAGTCCCTTCTGAAAACATCCCAGAGACTGGGAGAAGGAGGGAGTTTCAAGCAGTATTGGTAATTCTAAACCTGTCAAATGGTTTTGGGGGGTGGAACTACTGCCAGCCAAATGTCATCTTTGCTTATTCTTGATAAACTTGCTAAAATGTCTCCTAATCCTCAAAAGGTTCTAAGCCATGTTGATCATCTTTTAAAATAAGGTCACTGAATTTAGAAAGCCAGGAAGACTGCAATTCTCCAAGTGTGTTAACACCATCCAGCCCAGCAGATCCATCTAAAGT